TTTGCTTTTGGTGGTCTTCATAATTTCCCACTAACACAAGCATCTTTTACATAATTAATATAAGAGTTTTATAAAATTTAATGTAAAGTTTATAAAATAGAGTTTTTTAAAAATTTAATGTAAAGTTTATAAAAATGGAGTTTTATAAAAGATGAGTTATTATTTGATTATAACAATCTACTTTGATTTGAAGTTTAATTATAGCATTCAAGTTTGATTCTTTTAAATTTAATTAGAGCATTATACTTTGATTTGTTTTAATATGGTATCATAATTTAATTTGATTATAGTTATAACGTTGTACTATACTATGTTGCTATTAACGTCAATTTATATCGTAGTGTATGAGTTTTGATCCTATTAGCGTCAAGTAATCTTGAGTAGGGTTTGAATAAGATTGCGAGAGGTTTCGTTTGTGATCTTTTTGAGTGTCCGGCTTCGCAACGCAAGGTCCATAGACCCCGTTAAGCCATGATTTAGTGTCCTACACAATCCCGATGATTGGGCAATAGTGTTTTATCGCTTTGGTTCGTTGTTTAGCACTGTTAAGGCTAAGGAATATCAAACACATGAACTTTCCAAATGATGTTTTCTCATTAAAATAGCGAATTGTACAGTGATTACATAACGTAAACCCTAACATACAAGGGTTAATAGAGTTGACCGGTTTAACTTGTTGACTTTGTTTGACTTTGACTTGACCGAAATTTGATGGTTGTCACAGCCGAAGTCTACGTATGCGAGATTTCTCGGTTTTGGGGATTTTTTCTCGATTTTCGCGCCAAAACTTCTAAAATCCATAACTTTCGCATACGAGCTCCGTTTTTGACGTTCTTTATATGCACGCGTAGGTAAAATTACGCTCTACAACTTTTGTTTAGACTTCGTCGGCTAATTTTGACTTTAATTTTTTAAATTATTATTTTTAACAGACCGGGACAAGAAATCCGTTAAAAATTCATAACTTCTTCATCCGACGTCCGTTTTCGTCTGTCTTTTTACCGTTGCTCTACTATTGACGAGACCTTCGATTCTCGTTTAGGTCGTGTCGGCTAAAAATCACTCGATCTAAAATTCGAGTTTTTAGTTGTCTACTGCTAGCTGAAACTTCGAAAAATCATAACTTCCTTATACGAAGTCACATTTGGGCGTTTTTTTTATACCTACTCTAGGTTTAACGAACACTACGAGTTTCATTTAGATCACTAAGGATAAAAAGTAGTTTATCAAAAACTCACTTTTTACGACATTCGGCCCCGTGCCGGTTTTGTCGTGAAACTTCGACAGGTCATAACTTCTTCGTTATAACTCGGATTTCGGTATTCTTTATATATCTGTAATCCTTGTCATGCCCACTACAAGTTTCTTAATAGATATCGGCTTTATCTAATATTTATTTTTGACGCTCATTTTATTCTTATTAATTAAACCCTAATAATTAAGCATAAAACACATAATTCACATAACATTCACATAATTCCTTTTCATTTCTTCAAAATGAGTTACAAAGGTTAACATAGACTATACTGTCAATATTAATGCCTAGCCTAGAAACATGGGCATTACATGTCCCCGTTCTAAAAAAATAAAGAATGTTTGACATTAAAAATCTTTTAAATTAATTACTATTTATATTACAAAATAGAGTTATACATTGTTCACTGTATTATCAAAATAGTAAAATCTTTAAAATTGATAATCTATTTGGGTGGTCGATCCCTAGTCAACTAGATCAAATTTACATAACATTTAATGACTTTTTTTTAAATAAATTTGAGTTCAACGTTAAATCGTTGATATACCATCACATTAGAAAACCTTGCTAACGAAAACTCAACATGAAAAACTTTAGTGAAGGAAAAAAGAATGTACTATAATTGACTCCCTCGTTTAGATATCTATTACTCATTATGTGGTTGTGCATATGTCGCATTTCGATACCGTGGATATGTTTTCTGACTATTGTAGTAGGATGAGTATTCATAAAAAGATTTGTTGCATTACAACTAAATTGCACATATTTTACTTCAATTTGTTTGTCCTTTATAAGCTTATGAGAGTACACAGAATTTTGGAGGCATACATTTCATCATATCGCTTTTGATATATCATTCTTTCATTTGAGTGATACATGTTGCATTAGCTTCATATATTAAAGTTCAAGCTTTATCATTATATACTCCAAACGAAGTCAAAATGAGTTGTATTGACTCTAAAGTTGGATTTTATTATTATTATCACTCACAACTCTTTCTCGCTAAGCTTAATCGTAGCAATTTTTATATGTATATTACTGGATTATGATGCTATTTACTTTGTATATTTTTTCTTAAATTTCTCGTTCACAACTAGCATGGTTCCTTTTACTTATTTTCATATAGTTGACTAAGTTAACTATGTGGACATTAATCTTAATAACTAAAGTTTGTTAATATTAAAGTATGTATTTTTTAAAACCCGAATTGTGAAAACTGATCCAACCAGATTATAATTTGTTCAAATTGGATTTTGATTTAGTGTGTACTATTCTTATTCATTTTTTGAAAACGAAAATCAAATTGGATTGACTTGGTTGAATGGGATCGAACTAAACCATTCAAGAAAAACACCACTATTGCAGATGAACAAACCCTTGCCAGCAAGTTTATATGAAAAGAAGTTCCAGATCTAATATATACTGGTAAGATACATAAGAGCCCCAATTGCATTAAGATATGATAATTATTTTCCAAGACTTTTATTTTCTTCGGATGACTGAAATGAATTAATGTCAATATTTCGTGATTAAACAACCATTGGAGTGTTATGGTTGCCCTCTTCTGTTAGGGAGTGCCCTAAGTTGTTGGTGGAGCAATGTTAGAGAATGGTCTTCTTCCAAGGAAATGATGTTAATTGGTGCAAGTTGTGTGATCATTCAAAATGTATAGATTCATTAGTTATTTTGAGGATTGTATGGAATAGTGGTAGTCTATCATGAATTCCCTCTTCTTCTTGGGAGTTCACTTAATCGGTGTTGAGGCAACGTGAAGGGGTGATCCTCCATAAGGTATAACTTTTATTCTATATTAGTATGATCAATATCTTATGTTTTTTTCCTTGTGTCCTTATCTAGACATCGGCAATGAGGATATTAATTTTACTAAATGATCATTACATGGAAATGTAAGTATGGATAAAGGTGACATTGTTTGTGTCTAAGAGCAGGGGCGAGTTTACATACATGGTAGGTGGGTCACTTGACCCACCTTAATTTTTAGACTTTATAATAAGTCATATAGGAAAAAATTTAGGAACACCTTTGAAGTTTTTTTAGGGCCTACCTTATAATGTTTGATCAAAATGGCTGATCAGTTTTAACACCTAATTAGTTGATTTATAAATTTATCTATACCTAACCTACATCAGAATCACAGTAAAAGTTATATGATTTTTTGTTACTTATAAAAGGGAAGGGTGATGGGAAGGTTTATTATAGATTGTTTAAGCAATAAAGTTTTCTATCTCCCACTCCAACATTATTGAATGGAGTTATTAAGGGAAAAGGTTAACGATTAAAATCTTAGACTTGGTTTATTACAAGCTTAAACTGGTTTTAGTTATTTATTTATTTTTTTTGCACGTTGAACCGGTTTTATTAGTTTAACCATGCTCTAGTCTAAAAAAGGACTGTTTTTTAGGTTGAATCGGTCTGAGTTTGTATTGAGTTTGAAAAACTTCTGATTCTCTTGGCCAAGTAGGAAAAACTCGTCTTAGTAGAAAGGTGAGCACGGGTAATTTGTGGAGTACTCGGCCGATTTATCCGAGTTTTACAATAGTATATACGACCCAATCCACAACTAGTAATTTAACTATTTCATTTTTTCCTGGTTCCACTTAAATAAGGAACCACATAGTTTTTTGTTCTAAACTCGCCACTGTCTAAGAGATAGGTTCTTGATTCATTTGTGTTTTCCATTGGTTTGCCATCAGTTTGATTACGCTTTCAAAGTTTTGAGCATGTATTTAATTATTTCGGTTCATCTCATTTTGGATGTCATTTTTGTTGGATGCTTGTATTCTTGTTTGAGTAGCCAAGTACGTAGCAAGTTCTAGGGTCTGATTCGGTAGGAAGGCTGATGATGTAGTTCTTTTGTTTGACGAGTAGCCATTTGACTTCTAGTTTGCTTAGGGTGCATCGACCTTTCCACGTGATTACATGGATGGTTTTGTTTATTTGTGTATCTTTTGGTCTTATTTTTCTTTAGATGAGTAATTTCTTTCTTTTGGCTCGATGTTAAGATTTAAAACCTTTTTTCTTTTTCAATGCCTTAATGATCATGATTTGAACTTAAATGGATAAATGGTTACGTTTTCATAACTTTGATGGTCAATTAACTCATAAGTATTTTATAGAAATGAGAATACCTGAATTAGCAAGTCGTAAGGGAGAAATTGAAACAAAAATGATAGTTTAGTGGCTTAATTATCACAATTAAAACTTTGATGACTAAATAGTGACATTCTTGAAACTTTGATTATCAATTAAGTCAAACCTTTTATTTATTACATTCTTGAAACTTTGAATATCAATTAAGTCAAAACTTTTATTTTTTTTCATTCATTTATTATGTCTTACCTACCAATCAACATGGAATAATGATACAATATCTAACCAAACAATAAAGTGATAGTAAATTAGTAATTAGTTTCATTATTTGGTTTATTCAATTATATTAACTATTTTATTCATTTGCCATTCTATTCCATCTAATCAAAAAGGCTTTTCTATCATCTAGTTTTCACAAAATGCCCTTCTAGTTTTTTTTTTTTTTTTTTACGACAATCAAATCTACCACTATACCACTATGATATACCATGTATTTAAACAAACAATATCTTTGCCATCAACTTCAAGTACCCAAACGATGAAGGGTGTATTTTTGTTAAAATAAAATAACAGAGGGTTGTTATAAATAGTTTCAAATAAGAGTTCATCTTCAGTCTTGGAATTAATGACATTCGACCTGAAAATATAAAATCCCTAAATTGAACTTACGCTTACTCCTCACATTGTCCACAAGTACACCAGTTACGTGAAAACCCTCGTCTGACCACCACTGCCGTCGTCAAGTACTTGAGAAACCAGACACATAAAGATGCCGGAGCCGGAGAAAGTCGACGCTTCATCTCAGGCTTTAGCCACCGGTAGATTTATCATCTCTTCTTCTTCATCTCTCTCTCTCTCTCTGTGAAAAGTTTTTTGAGAATGCAGTACAATAACCTCGTTTCTTTTCATAATTTTTCATTATCCTTGAGATGCGAAGTGATTTATCAGTTAAAGAAAAATCATACCCGTACATAATTAACTATGATATGTCCAAGATATGACTTATCTAAGAGTATTTTAACCTTTACAAGTTGCATAATTTTTATTGTTCTTGATTCTGTTTTCAGTCATCATGCAAAGAACGATTAACATGTGTAACGATTATGTAACTAGTACTTGAGTTCCTTCTATTCCATGGCTCTTCCGAAATTCCATCATCATCCTTCTATTGAACGTACTATGAATGTTGTTTTCCTCATCAATGGATATATTATATGGAAAAAGCTATCTGCTGTCAAACATCAGGAAAGTTCTGATCTTGTAGCTGTATGGTAAAATTTACAAGTCAAACTCACTTTAAAAAACTTATAAATTAATCGAACTTCTGGCTGATATCAGAAAGTGAAGGTCAAGAATCAATTACTACAATCAAGAACAAACAAGAACATTGTCTTTCTTAAACTTGATGTGTAGTATAAGTATATAACAATAACAATATAACATAGCTTGTATATAATCTAATTTCATATTCCTTTTTTGTTTGGTTTGTTTGTAGGAATGCAACAACAATTGTACAAACGTCTTTTGAATGAACAGGTTCAAAAGCTAAGGAAACAAGTTCCAGTATATCAAACTAACAATGAAGGAGCTGGACATCAGCCAAAATTCAGAACTACCATTTGGATTGATGGAGTGAAATACACATCCCCAAACACATTTCACAACCGTAAACTGGCCGAGACAGATGCTTCTAAAATCACACTTTTTGCTATAAGACAGAAGCTAAAAGACGAAGCATTGAATCATCTTTGTGAGGTTTGTGCATACACTGAATCTTGCTTTTGAGTATATAAATTTAATGTACAAAATTTCCCTTTACATATATGTTCAGGATAAAATATTCTGCAAGGCTATTCTTATGGAATATGCTGTGAGGATGGATATACAGAGACCAACGTATCAGACAACTCAATTGGGGTCATCACCTCCACTTTTCCGTTGTTGTTTGGTTTTTAATGGTGCTTCTTTTACTGGAGATGACTGTAGAAACAAGAAGGAAGCTGAACAGTCTGCAGCACGTGCTGTTATTTTGAAATACTTAGGTACCTTTACCATTTTGTTAGTCAAAACTCAAAACTCAAAACTCAAAACCCACATACTTTCTTGATTCTTGTGCAGATTCTGAAACAGGAATCATGTTGTCAGAGATAATTAAGTCTAAGTTCAATCATATTCCAACAAAGGACATTCAAATTGGCAATGTGGTAAATGGCCTTGTTGCATTGAATGAGGCAAAAAGCAATGAAGGAACCAAAATCCCTCACATAGAGCCTTTACTCATTACTACTTCTACCTCTGCAATGAATCCCCCTGTAAACATAACTCAAACCCTAGAAACACCAATTATCCCAGTCTCTACATCTACACTTCCAACTTACTCACCACCCTTAATGACTCCACAAATACCCACTCAAACCACCACCCCAGTGTCTACAGTTTTGGCACAGACCCCATTAATCCAATCCATTCAGACACCCACTCAAACTACTCCTGTGCCTATACAGACTCCTCCGGTTGTTGTTGGAACTACTTTTTCTAATGTTGTTCAACAAGACACTACTATCCCTGTAACACAAACACCCCCTCAAACTCTTTCAATGCCAACAGTCTCAATGGCACAAACACCAACTCCAACTGTTTTGGCACAAACCCCCCCAATTTCTGTAACAAGTATTGCACCTTATAATCCTGCAATTCAGGTTTCTAATAATAATAGTAATAGTAATAGTGTAGCTCAACCAATAAACTCAGAGGTCTTGGTGCCACCTGTAACTGCTGCTTCTTCACTTCCAATTACTGGCAAGAAGAGGAAAAATAAAAACAAGAAAAATGCCCAAAAGAGAATGCGAGCTGAGAATCAGTAAGTTTTGAGTTTCGAGTGATCATTTATGTATATTGACTTATTTAACCTCAACCCACTTGGTTTCTGTCATTTTCAGGGTGGCAATGTCTGCCATGTTTCATGGTCAAGTTCCCACTTTTTCTGCACAATAAGTCGAGCTCTGTATTTGTAAGGTCAGCAAACTTGATTTTTTTTTTTTTTTTTTAAGTTGAAGAGTGTTGATGATTTCTTATGTTTATTGCAGAATGATGGATAAAGTTCCGTTTTGTTTGTAGAAGGTGTGTGATGAATGATGATGATTCATGAAGTAGACTTTTTTAGTATAAAAAGCAAGTGATTTGTGATGCTGCTAGTGGCTTTGTAGTGATAAAACCTGTATTTTAAAGTTGTAGGATTATGGTTACTGTTTGTTGGGGTAATAACTTTTACTATGTAACAATATGTTGGTTTTCTAATTCATTGTAGGTTGTTACTAGTATAGTTTCTTTTTTAATATGGTAATATGTGATAGATTTGTTTTTGGTCTTTTCTCCAAATCATCCGTTAAGTTGGCAGGATTTCATATGTTTTTAAATTTAGTTAGTTTTTATTTATATGAGCTTTATTTAATAAATAATATTTGTACCAAAAGAATTAATAAATTTAGTGTCAGATATGATTGGTATACAGTACCCATCGTTAAACGAACTTGGAGTCGAAGTATTTGTCCATTTAAATATTTATAAATAAAGAATAAAATTTTAGAAAAAAGTTTATTCTTATTACGCAACAAATTATACCAAATTAACCACGGTTTTCCTGTTACAGAAAACATGACTCAAATCTTTGATATCTCGAAATTCGAATTTATAAATTATATATTAGATATGCACATATAAAACATCAAAGTCAGGATGGCCGAGTGGTCTAAGGCGCCAGACTCAAGTTCTGGTCTTCGAGAGAGGGCGTGGGTTCAAATCCCACTTCTGACATTTTTTGTTTCTTTTACTGATTTTTCCCCTTCTTTATGAAATCAAAAAATTTTCTTTCCTATAAAAAGTAAGGTAAAACTTTGAAATAAAAAAAAACATATTAGGTTTAGGACTTCATTTCATTAAATCATATGACTGTTTTGCATTTATTTTTTTTTTTTTTTTTTTGTAAACAATGACTATATATAATTGTCCCTTTTTATGTTTTATAGATTGATTTCCGCATTATATTCTGAATATATATCCTTTAGCATTATAAGTAAGTTGAAAATTTTATAATAAATGAAACAACTTATTATGAACATTTTTTTATGATGGCATCCTCTATTCTACCATCCATCATAGTATCTTACTATTAGAATAATATAATGAAGTTTAGTTTGGATGATGTTTTTAGAACATCGATATTTGTAATTTTTTTTTCTTATTTATTTTTATTGTTATTTATTTTTTATTTTTTTTATCATTTCTACGCCAACTTAAAAACACATTATATTAATTAAAATATTTTCTCAACTTAAAAACCTCATAATATTGAGCGATACATCTACTTATTTATTATGTAGTTTTCTTATTGTTATTATAATAAATAAAAAAGCTATACAAAATAATTATTTAAAGTAGCTTATATGATTTTTTTTTCTTTTTTGTAATGTGCAAAATTTCCCCACCAATAGTTACGAATAATTAGAAGGTGTTTGGTTAAAAAACTTATTGCTTATTAGTTTATAACTTATTAGCTTATTAGCTAATAACCTAATAAGTTAGAGCGAGTTAACTTATCTAACTTATAAAAAATGACTTGTTAGCAGTTTGTCACTGCTATAATTAAGTTTTTTTTATCCAAACACTGTTTTAGCTTATAGCGGTGTGGAACCGATAATTAACTAATAAGCTCGTTCACCAAACACTCCCTTAGTTACTGATAATTTAATCATCTTCATGCATGTAATTGCACCTTCATAGTGACACATATTATTTTTAGCATAACGTGAAACTAGATTAATAAAAACTACTATCTTCAAGTTGTAGAAGCACTTTCATCTTAAATTTGCAAATTTTCCATTTAACAAAAAAACTCGCGCATCATAAAGGTATATATATAAAAAAACTATATATCAAGTGTATTATATAAATGATTAAACGTAAGCGTGTATTTTAGTATGATATTGTTTAATCTAAACCTTATCGGAATAAAAGGATTAAATGATTTAAATAATTTAATAAATTGGCTTATATAAGATTTTTAATCTCAAAATAAACAAAATGAGACTACCAAAAACTTAATTTACGTTTCAATTTTTACCACTTTAGGTCACGACTCACGAGAAAATCACTTTCCAAAAAAAAATGTTGGTCAAAATTGATCTATAAATTGATAACGTTAGCAGACTATTCAAAATCATAAGCACACATGATTCTTATGAATACAAATTATCAATTATAATAATTACTTGGTATAATTTGCATGCCATCAATATAACCAAAAAATATGTAAATATAAAGATATCATCATATCTCTACTCTATATAAGTTTGAAAATAAAAATGAACTAGAAAAGTTAATATAAACTAGAACATATGCAAATATAACTCTTTATTGACATATAAGCTAAGTGTCATAAATCCACTTTGTATCTTTATAAAAAAAAATTACGCAATCAAATAATAATTTCAAAGCAATATCTGTGATATATAATGGATAGTAGTTTATAATGTCCGAATTACAAGTGATTATAGAAAAAAGTTTACAACTAATTTTGACTTCATGGATAAACATCAAAGATAACTTATCCACTCTCAATCTTAAAAAAATAAACGTTAGAATCATAACGGATTCACTATTCCTTCTCTTTCTATATAAGCCATAATCACGGACCTTCAAAACCTAATCCAAAATTTATAAAAAAGAAATCTGATTTCTCTTAAAATTTTCCGCTTACTAGCTTCTTCCCACCATGGGTCTTGATGATTCTCAAATCTCAAATATGGAAAACGGCAATCTTCTTCCTTTGATGGTCTCCACAAACCCTAGAATACATTTAGCTCAAAAGGTATATATACATATACATATATCGATAATTATGAATGTAATCAACTAATGTAACGCATGCTGTAGTTGTTAGCAGAATTCATCGGAACATATTGTATCATATTCGCCGGATGTGGATCTGTCGCGGTTAATAAGCTTTATGGTGGCACTGTAACTTTCCCCGGAATTTGTGTGACTTGGGGTTTGATCGTCATGGCTATGATTTACACCGTCGGCCATGTTTCAGCCCACTTTAATCCGGCTGTCACTATTACTTTGTCTCTTTTAGGGTTGCATTCGTTTCAAGAGGTATTTTGTTAATTAAAAGCTGTTTAACTTAATAATTAATTTTATGATAGTTGCTGAATGCATTATATAGTGACGTACATGCATGACAATTCTTTGCAGGTTATTTTTTATATATTATCACAGTTATTAGGATCGATTTCTGCAAGTGGAACATTGTCGTTGATAATGGATGTGACTCCAGAAGCTTTTTTTGGAACTACACCAGTTGCATCAACAACACAGTCGTTTGTTGTTGAGATCATCATTACGTTTATTCTAATGTTTGTAATTTCGGGTGCTACTAATGATCATAGAGCGGTATGTTTTTTTAACCTTTTTTGTTTTAAAATAAAATATTCTTGTTTATTACTAATATTTGATTCAAAATTGCAGATAAAGAAGCATGGAGGGATTGCAGTTGGAATGACGATTATGTTAAATGTCTTTGTGGGAGGGTTAGTTCTTTTAATTTTCTTGATATATTTTATGAATTAAATTAACTTAAAATTTTGATTTTTTTAATGAATTATATGTATATATAAATTCAGACCAATTTCTGGAGCATCGATGAATCCTGCAAGGAGTCTTGGACCAGCTATTGTGAAGCTTAACTTCAAAGGGATTTGGGCGTACATCTTCGGTCCACTCATTGGAGCAATTTCTGGAGGATTTGTTTATAATTTGTTGAAGCCGACTAAGAAATCTTTTTGTGAGATTTTTAATAAAAGAAGTTAATTGTGTATTCTAGAGATTTGATGTAGTTTTAGGTGTATTGGTAATAATTGTTTTTAGAGTTTGGGATAAATTTGTTTGATTGAAGGTGATGCGATTCCTTTTAAAAGTTTCTTAACGCATATATATTTTAACTTATTTAATGTACTTTACCAATGTTAGAGGTTGTTTGGCAAAGGTTATTTAAAAAGACTTATAACTTATTTTGATGAAATAAGGAGTTTTTAATAAGGGATATGTTACTTATCACTTTTTGACTTATTAGAGTTACCAACAGCTATAACTTGTTTTTTACCCAAACATGTTTTTTGATTTATACCGGTATCAAACCGGTAATAAGTCAAAAAGCTCATTTTTTAAGCTTTGCCAAACACCCCCTTAATATAGGTTATAGCAAAGTACATAAAAATAACTATATTTTGCTAGTTTCAAGGCTTAAACATTTATACTTTATTAAGTGAAAAAGACAAATCTAACCAATCCTCATAAGCTTCAATCTAAAAGATCTTTGGAGGATTTGTGAAATGCTTGGCACAATGGCGAATGTATATGTCACGAGGAAATTATTGAAGATAAGGAAGCGATTCTCTTTCGTTCCGTTCATAAGGGTGGGAGATGGCAATAACTTAATAAAGAATATGTAAAGAATTGTGGATTGGGAACTGCAGAATGTGGTACATAGGGCATCCACGATGCATTGAACTCCATAAAATTCAATGGATTGTCACATCATCATTCACTATTTTATACAACTCTATTCGTTTTTCCTACAATGCATTGAACTCTATGAAGTTCAATGAAACATATTTTAAACATTTATTTATGAATTATATAACTTTTCTTTTTCCCATTGAAAAGTTTAATTGTCATTAAATTCTAAATCCATTGAATGTTAAAGTGACATCTCACAATGATAGTGTTTCATCTATTGAATGATAACTAAGTTGACCACCTCAATGAAATCTCCATTGAACCATGCATTATGGATGCTCTTAAGAACAACATGCAAATCCATTATGATATATGCAAAGGTTGTGAAGGGAGGAGTAATAATAATTAATGGTAATGGCATGGATGCTAATCATATCACTTTGAAAGAAAGGCGTCTCACAAAAGTGTACAATGATGTTCGTATTGTTCTAGCCAATTTAAGGGAAGTTGTATACTTTAGGCCATAAGGCATACCAATATTCTTCCAACATTTCAACCTTTCACATCACAACATCACTTTCCTCATCAACCTTTTTACAATCATTCTTTCAAAATATACCCACAGTTCAACCCTTTCATTAAAAAAAACGTTTAAATTTGATTGTAACACTCAAATCCAGGTACCCCATTTTTACCCTCAAGTATTTATTTTTTAGCAAAAAAGGACCCTTCGTATGTTGGGCGTACATATGAGTACGCTTAGCGTACGTGTGTGCATGCATCGAGTGGCTGAGGCTCGTACGCGGGGCATACTAGCATGTACGCGGGGCGTACGAGGCCAATGACCAAACCCAAATTTCTTGGCTTGGACACTATTTAAACACACTTATATCATTTGGACTAAACCCTAATCAGCCTCCATAGCCTCCTTTCTTCCTAAAACCCTAGTTTTGCAAGAGAGTGTGAGTTTTGTGTCTTAAAGTGCTCTTGGTGGCCATTCTAGTGAGTTTTCAATAAGAAGGAAGTGGTGTTCAAGCCTTGAACGTGGGAAGAGCTTGAGGATCCTGCATCTAGAGTATGTTGGGAAGCTTTGGAAGGTAAAAAGTTTTCTCCTTGCTTATCCTTGTTGTTCGTTGAGTTAGGGTTTTCTAGAAGTTCTCTTTTGAGTCCATAAATCCTCTCTTGGGATTTTGGGCAACTCTAGAGGTTAGGAAGGATAGATCTGAGGTCCTTTGGCTTGATTATATCATAAAAATGCAAACTTGATAACTTCTATGGCTCCATGCATGAGTTAAGACCCTTGGAAAGGTTTTAATGAGATAGAATGGGTTGTTGGGAGCATATATGGCATGCAAAGGCATAAAGTTGCCAACTTTATGCCTTAGGACCCTTAAAACGTCTAAGATCTGAAGTTTGAGTGAAAAGTCTTCATGCATTAAGGACTTAATGGAGTTGGATGCAAGACATGTTGTACGATGGGCGTACTATGTTATACGTTGCGCGTACAACTCATGGACCCAGTACGCTAAGTGTACTGAAGAGGTACGTTGGGCGTACGCTCTTAGAGAACCTTGGGCTTCTGGTAGAGCTTCAGACCTTTGGGCCCTAATGGTTTGGGCCTAGACTAGCTGGATTTGTGGTCCTGAATTTATTATTTGGGGCATTGTTGGCATGTTGGGCCTTTTGGGCCTTGTGGCCTAATATAGAATTGGATTTTTATGTTAGGCCCATTAATGAAGGAAAGGCCTTTGGGCCATTATGGAGGGACTTGGACTTAGGATTTTGGGTCCATGTCTAGGTTGTGTCATAATCCTAATTAGGATTATTTGTATATTGTTCAGTGTGAGATTTTGGACTGGTAGTCGAGCATCTATTGTGATTAGCATACTGAGGTGGGTCTTCTCACTATACCAATGGGTCGAAGGCACCAATGTCGGCCCATTGCTTGATATGAGATTTCATTAGTTATGTATGCAATGGCTTGTTATCTAGCATGTTATGACTTATATGAAGACCATGGGGGTGCCCATGGCTCAAGCACTTGGTAAAGACCATGGAGGTGCCCGTGGCTCACGGATGTAAGACCATGGGGGTAGCCCATGGCATTCCGGGTGAAGACCATGGAGGGAGTCCATGTCAATCCTATATGTATGTTGCATGGCATTATGTGGTTATATGTTTGTGTATTTTGGGAAACTTACTAAGTGTTTGCTTACAGTTTGTTGGATGTTTCAGGTACTTCGGGGTCTAAGGGCAAGGGTCCGGCTTGATGGCGCAGCAGACACTCTCCAGTATTCCGCATTTCTTGTTTTAGATACTCTGATCTTATGGACAAAAGTTTATGTAATGAAATTTTGGTAAAACAAATATGATTGTGATTTCTGAATATTAAATGGAAATTTTTATCTGAATTTTTGGGCTGTTACATTTTCTCACATCGAACATATACAGGTGTGATGTAGCCGCACATTCAAGTCCCATATGAGACATGCGAAATTTAAAAGTAGATTAGAATGTCTCCGGGTCACTGTTCTATTATAATAATAATAATAATAATAATAATAATAATAACCATGTTTGAGGGTTTTGATAAAATAAACTTTCAAAAATGGACTTTTTAAAATTTATTTATTATTTCTAGACGATAGTATCTCCTACAAATTTTTTCTTTTGGAAAAACCGCAAACTTTTTCTATACAGAGTGATGTCATTTCGTAAAAAAGAGAACATATTTTGCGAATATTATTTATAAAATAAATAATTAAATTATTATAAATATTAAAAGATAATTATTTCGTAACCAATATCCAATTTTTTATCATTTTAGTGATTAATCCTTTAAGACGGTGATACAAGTTAAGAACCAAAAGCTACATCGATCCCAACTTTTTCTTAATAATCATGGCCTCTCCTTTTGTTTTCATTATATTAGTTTTATATGACATTATGGTGTATGGTGTGGAAGTGGGGGAGTGGGAGGTATGAGTTGGCAATCCTGTCTCGCGTGGGAACACCGCCCCTAGCACGTAGTATACACCTTACACACCAAAGATTTGTGTTTGCTAACCAAATATTTGCGTCCCTAATTTGAATTTGGATAATCATACAATACTTAAAGAATTTACTGATTTGACTATTATTGATAAGGTTTTTAATGGGAAATAATGAGTATCAAATGAATATAATAAAATTATTTTGAATATTTCTAAGCTGAAATTGTATTCCATACATAGATTGGAGTTTGAAGGTTGTTTTTCTGTTTGATTCTAAAAACAATATAAAATGTCAAACCAACCTAGATCGTTGTTATTTACATGCTACTATTTTTGAACATCATGTAATAGATTTTGATATGTATTTTCCAATTAAAATTTAACACGACACTCTTTTCAATTTGTTTAAAAACATCAAATGTTTTTATAAAATTTTAATGTTAAAACCCATAAAACACCATAAACAACAATAACAAGAAAATAGGGGAATCATGAGTTGAAATGAAAAAGTTTAACAAATGTGAGGGTTTTCAAGAAAAAGTTGAGTTTTTTTTCCTTCAACCGAGGGTTCTTTTCAAAAAAGAATTATGTAAGATTGAAAGAAATTCGATATACTTGCTAAAAGAACCAAATCAAGAAAAAAAATTGAAAAATACAAGTTTTATTAAAAATAAAAAAAATTAGGTTTAAACATGGTTCTAAAAAGCGCGTCATGATTGCGTGCCATGGTGCAAGGTCTGGCTACACCATCTTGAAAATCTTCAATTCAACGATATTAAACCTCTTACAATTGTACCCGACGAGGTCTTCATATTTTCAAAATTGTATCATTACCGGTACTTATAAAATATTTTTGTCGATATATGACACTAAACAACCGCTCAAAAATTAATCACATATTTTGTTACGTATACCAGTCTTTATCAACTTCATTGCTGAAAATAAGGGTGAGCAACGGATCGGACCCAACCTGAACCGGACCGGGGACCGAAAAACCAAAAACCGAGATTTCTTGAAAACATAGACCGAAAACCAGACCGGGTTAGGTATACCGGTTCCGGTTCCGACACTGGTTCCCGGTTCCTGAGATGGATTAAGCCCGTTGCAACATTGTGTTATTTGTGTGTCACTAGTCCATTAATTATTTTGTTTATGTGTCACTAGCCCATTAATGTGATTTGAGTATAGTAGCAGTGAGAAAAGGAATAAGTGTTTAACCTCTAAATCAAAAGTTTGTAAGTTTTATTGTGTTAATTATTAAATCTACTTATTTGTTTTAACTAATTCCAAAGCTTCTGATAAGATTAAGAAACTCTGTTGTGTTGCTTAAGTTTAATCAACTTGTCATGTTACTTGTAA